GGCCCTTTGGTCCCACACTCTGCCCCGGGGCTCCCCTCTCACGCTCCCCTTCCTGCCTGGCTTCCCTGAGCCCATCTGCTTCTCGCCCCCACTTTGTGACGTCTCTTTTGCTGCTGCTTGAGTCTCCCGAACGCAGCGGTTCTCAACCTGTGGGTCGCGACCTCTTTGGGGGTCGCCTAGGACCATCGGAAAACACACACATAATTACATACTGTTTTTGTGATTCATCACTATGCTTTCATTATGTTCAATTTGTAACAATGAAAATACATCCTGCATATCAGATATTTACATTACTTTGTAACAGTAGCAAAACTACAGTTATGAAGTAGCAACGAGAATAATTTTATGGTTGGGGGTCACCACAACCTGAGGAACTGTATTAAAGGGTCGTGGCATGAGGAAGGTTGAGAACCACTGCCCTAACGGATCCTTTTCTTGCAGACGGTGAAAAAGCAATCTGGCTCCCGAGGTTCCCCCCTTACACCCCAGGGTCCAGATGGCGGCCAATGTGGGTGATCAGCGCGGCACCGACTGGTTAGTGGGCTAGAGGGACAGAGGGACAGAGGCGGGGGGGAGGGTGCAAGAGGAGCGAGCCCCAGCGTCGTCCTCCTCCTTGGGGAAGGGTGTCTTGGGCGCCAGGGGCAGTGATGCCGCCGCCCCTGGGGGTCAAGGCAGGGCTGGCCCACTGGCCGCAGAGTGAGGGAGCCTGGGCTGCCGTGTGGGGGCGTCAAGCCTTCGGAGCCCTCACTTGCCACCGTCCAGTGCTGGTTTGCAAGATCGCGATGCTTCGTTCAGTGAACCGATTGGGGGCAACCTTCAGCACTTACTCAGGCACTTATCTTCTTGCAAATTCCTTATTTTTTCCAAAACAGTGTGATGATAGCCTGCGGAGTGGGGTGGTGTCGGGCAGAGTTCATTGTTCCTAGACCACTTAGACCTGCCAGGCACCAGGCCCTGTGTTCGGGTCTGCACGTGTTGTAGCGCCTTGTTTGCTTTATATTTAACAACTGCTGTGCACCAGGCCCTGCACAAGTCCGCTAGGTAGGGAGTCGCCTTGACTCCACACAGAGAACCGACACAGAATCGGGTGTCAGCACGTCCTAGATTGGGGGGTGTAGGCTGCAGGAGCCAGTGAGGGGCCTGTGATCCCACAGGCTGGGTGGTGGCTTTCCCACCTCGCCCCCTCCCCGCGTCGGGACAGCAGCCGACTCTGCTCTCCGCAGGTCCTCCCAGTACGGCATGGTGGCCGGTGACTCCACACAGAGAACCGACACAGAATCGGGTGTCAGCACGTCCTAGATTGGGGGGTGTAGGCTGCAGGAGCCAGTGAGGGGCCTGTGATCCCACAGGCTGGGTGGTGGCTTTCCCACCTCGCCCCCTCCCCGCGTCGGGACAGCAGCCGACTCTGCTCTCCGCAGGTCCTCCCAGTACGGCATGGTGGCCGGGGCGGGCAGGGAGAACGGCATGGAGACGCCCATGCGAGAACCCCG